AGTACAAAACTGTAAAATATACAGTAAGATACTTTGACATAACTATTTTTTGGAACAGTGTGGGCTAGAACAAAACTTTAACAATTTTAATGAGCTTAAAATTCAATATGTGATATGAGCTACTTTAGTCTTCAACACAGCTTTAACTCTCTTAACCGAGCTTTCTTGGTGATGTCTTTTTTAAATGAAATTCTTTAAGCTGTTGTTGTGTTGATGTTCAGGGGACTGTTTTTCAGGCCTTTTGTTCTTTTCTCTCTCAAGATGATCCCTCACAAACTTTAATAATGCTGAGGACAATCCATGTATTAAGATAATGTAATTATGTCAACACCATTTATATGTAGTTTAACAAAAAAACAAACAAAAAAATCAAAATATTCTGGCTTTGCAGTACATTTCTCTGCCTGTTTGAGGAAGAATGCCTGTCAAATGACCCTGACCTCCAAGAAGCCATTTCAAGGTCTTTAGACTTAAGTGCAAATGAAAGGTCAGTACAACAAAAACTTTTACTTGTCATATTGAAAGATCAACATATTAACCAATATTTAATGTTTGTTGCAGAAAAGGAATCACATACTGTTTAGTTTTGGATCAGTTTGAATGAGCAAACTATTATGTCTTTTGTTATTTTCCTTTGTTTAAATTCTATTCCTATTCTGTTTTAATTGAGTTTCAGTGTTTGTTTACAATAAAACTCCAGATCCAAGTGACAACAAGGTAAAATAATGTTACCAATCGATAGTGATGGATTATCGCAGGAGGCCTCAAATCACCAGCAGATGTCAGTACTTTCAAATGAGCTGTAGAACTGGGTCTTTGTATGGGCAGAACTTCATGCAATCAGAAAATGAATTTAAATAAGTTATATTTGAATTCGCATTGCTCAGATTGAGTCTGAATTGCTCAACTTGAATAAATGTTTTTAAAAAATGAATTTGGATTAGCATAATTTGAAATCCAATGTATTGGTTTGGAAATGATCATCACTAAATTGAAACAGAATTTTATATTTTATAGATGAATGTAATGATGAATGTATTTGCTTTTATTTGTATGCTTCTATAATGTATTTTATGCTTTTTAAAATTTAGCTCTCGAATACTTTAAGTTTCACTTCTACAATTTTGTTTTTGGGTCAAACAAGAAAGCCACAGAGAAATCAAGCACAGGTTAATAGAGCTACACTGTGCCAGCGAACCCAGAGTGTTACTCAGCGGACCTACAGCATCTTGAGTTGGAACAGGACACAGATTTAAGTGTTCAGAAGTCATTCGTCATGTCAAATAACCAGTGGATAAACTCTCAGGTTGGTAATAAATGTATTACATATGTGTGTATTTATAGGCTCAGTCTCCCTTTGGCCTTTGACAGAGCATCTGGTAATACAGGAAACTAAAACAACTTTAATAATAAACATTTACAAAACAAATTTAGAGGATTCATATTTTTCTACTAGTCTTAAAACACATCTTGGAAATTTTCAGGGAAATATAGACCTTAAATTTCTTGATTTCAGATTTTTGATGGAACCATGCTTCCCACGCACACACAATGTAACACATACAATGATTGTGATGGTTTTAACGAAAACCACACTTTCAGTACAGTGGATGTCTAGGTCTGGGATCTTAACTTTCTGTTGAGGGAGTCATTTCCAATTTCAATGATGCGTCTCATGGCGTTCATTATTATAGCATCAATGTCAGGATTCGGTTCTGTTTCTGAGTGGTAGTTCTTCAGTGGAAAAATACAGTTAATAGGAATGCCCACACGTATGCTGAACAGCTCAATCTAAATGAAAAAAACCAAACAAACAAGAAATATAAAAAATATGGGAATTATTTTGACAGTGTAATTATAATGCATTTTTTGTATAAAGTTCAATTAAAATAATGTACCCTTTGCTGCAGAGATTTGCTCTTGTAGACATTTTTCAAATCATGATTTATCTCAGGAAAAGCCTCGTCAATTTTGGTGAAAATTACCACTTGTGGAATCTCTGACCAAATAAAATACAAATATTGGGTGAATGGATTGTGATGTGAGATAAGTGTTTCCTAACACTTCTAGTTGTAGATAAAAGACTGTGGTCCAATTTCTATCTGGAAGAATCATGAAAAATTTGGTAACTTCCAAATGACTGTGATTTGTGAACTGTGATTATAACTGTGAATCCAAAGACCAGGTACTTGGAGCTGCTGCGTGGCACATACGAGCCTGACGTTGGGGGAATAGTATTGACAGCTGAGATAATGTACAGGATATACAGGGGGAATCTGTGGGTGTTTTAGCAAATAAACTGATGCACTCTGGCTCCAATTGCTCAGTGTAGCTCTTAAACCTTAAACCTGTTTTACAAACTCTGGTTTACACTCTGATCCTACCTACATTCTGCATCTCAGGTGGGTTATGTTTGTATACTGTTTGTATGTTCTGTATGTCTTTGTGCTTTGTGCCATTTTGCTCTTGTGAAGATAGCTCATATTTGTTCAATTCTTCATTTACTTTAATTTTCACTTATAAATGCTGTATAAGACAAAAATAATCCTCTTTTCGATGAGCTATTTAACTAAAAATATATAATCACATATTTTGACTTTGAATTATATATTTTATGTATGAGCTTACTAATTAATACATTTTTATCTGTATTTATAAATTATATACTAAGAGTAATGCTTCATTAATAAGGAATTAAGGGCTGACTTATAGCTTAACAGAGTGACTAAGTGTTATTCTTTATTGATGGGTGTTTACACTGAAATGGCAACAAACAATAACAAGTACTGATGGCTTACATTAGATTTTTTTTAAGGCAGTTGGTTCCATTGTAAAAAAGAAGAAGCAGTGATTTTTGCTCACCCAGATCAGTGGCTTCATCTCTGACGTCCTGTATTGCTTCCACAGTGGCATCTTTCATCAGAGATACAGTGTTTGCATCAACAACACAAACCAAAACGTGCACTTTGTCGTTCTCAGTTGGAGTTCTGTTGTAGTATCTATCGCCTTTTGACAGTTTATTTTCAGGGTTGAACTAAAAGATAAAGTGTAAACATAAAACAAATAATGTAAAATTATGAATTACCAAAAAAGTACCAAAAATAATATAAAATATATATAATATAAAAATCTTTTTCTTCTAACTGAACGTCAGAATTTTAAAAATGCAGTAACTCTACCACGTAACCATCTTTTATGTGGCCCTTCAGCGCCTGTTTGACATCTTTCACATGAATCCTTCTGTTTCCTCTGCTGGTTGCGTACTTCAACCCCATCATGTCATTTAGGACAAAAGGGTAAAAGGCATTTCCCTTTTCGATCTTGTAGGTTGTATACTGTGGATCACATATGGCGAATACATTTATTTATTTTAACATTCAAACACTCTCAGAAACAGGTTCTATAATGATAATAAATTCAGAAGAATTTTAGAATCTATTGAGCTCTTGTTATTTTCATAATTTGTTGCCACCACAGCATCACCCCTGGGTTAGTGGAATTCCATACCGAGACTTCAAGGTGAAAATTTTTAAGTTATTATTTTGGCCTTTTGAAACCAGAGGTGGTGAGCAAGGGGCGAATCTGATAGAGAAACTAAAGTGGCAATACTACTAGAAAGCGGCATTTGTAAAACGAGCTGGTGATAACAAAATCAGACAATGATAGCTATTGTATCAAGTAATAGCTAGTGCTCATTAGCACCAAGTATTACAGGGTTAGCTCATTGATGCTACTGATAGGATAGGAACATGGTGCATTCATTTGGTGGAACATAAGACTATCCGATTCCAGTTCTTACCACAAGTTAACTTCACATACATGACAGTAAAAGATAGATAAAAGCCTTCACCAACTTGCACATTCATGGATAAAGCCAGATCACTGCTCTGCCTACAAATTATTTAGTGAGTCACATATTAACTGTTATTGGCATAGTTGTACTCTGTCCATACCTTTTTAGTGAAACAACCCCAAGTGTTAGACGCCAAAGCGTCGCAACATATTCTCTTTTGTAAGACACTGTTTACAGAATTGATGAAACTAGATTTTCCAGCTCGACCTGGACCATGAAGGAGGATCCTAAGATTTTGTTCTTCAACCTCAGGTTTGTAGTTCTCCACAAAATGCTGATCAGTTGAGTTCTCTCTGCTTAGGAAAGGAAATATTACATTATCTCACCCCTTACATGGAAAAAATGAATAAACATGGAACATCTGGGTAGTTTACTAAACAGAGGAAATAATTCAAATGTATTTTTTTCTGTGAGCTTCACTCACCCATAGTTAATTTGCCTCCATGGTTTTTCAAGAACTGACATGAAACAATTTAAAGAGAAAATAATATTTATGTATAGTACATTTTTTATTGGATGACAACTCGTATGATTATAGCTTTTGAATAAACTTACGTAGAGATGGAGCAGCTGTTTTTGAAGACGAAGAACCCATAACTAAAACACAAAGTATTTACTCTATTTAATTCAAAGTTTACAAAGTTTACATAAACAATTTCATTTTTGCTTTCGATTAAAATGAACCTACCTTTGCTGGAAAAAAAACCCACCCAATGGCAGAATGTGAACCTATCTACAGTTTTAAAGTCTTGCAAATCTGTTTTTTCTTTCAATTTAGCAGAACATGTGACTTCTAGGACTTCCCCTTTGTCACAGTTTACTTTCATTTTCATCTTGTTTATAGATAACATGAAAACAGCAACATATTGATGTTTCCACTCTCACGTTTACTGAAAATATTTAATCTTACAGCCTAACAGTGTGCTGTGTCACTGTGTCTTAGTGATTTCTGGAAAATGATAAAATTTTAACTGTGGTTTTTCATTTGGTTGAGTTTGATATACTTCTATCATATAAAGTCATGTATTCCCACAAGGGGTTCTGCAAATTATTAGTTTTTTAAAACTTATAAGTAAGTAAAAAAAAATTTTTATATAGCACCTTTCTAGATAAAAGATCACAAAATGCTTCACACAAGGATAACAAAGTATAATTACTTTTAAAAATTAGGCCACCAGTGTTAATTTAGCCTACTGTAATATTCACCAAATGTATTTCCTAAATCAGCAACATGCAGGTAAACTCTAGTTGAGCTGCTTGGTGGTATCAGAAGAAAGATAGTCGCTTGTGATTTATGTCAAAAAAACACATTTATAATAACTTTATTAAAACATTTGTAATTATAATTTGCATTGTTATCTGAAGATAATGTCGACACTTATGCATTTACATGAACTGGAAATAGCAGATTAAAGATTGCATGATAAATCTCCAAAAAGTTGATTCTGCTCATCTGGACGTAGCGTTTTGTGGGAGAAATGTTGGAACACAAACTGGGTGTCATCAGGACGCTACAACACAGAGCGAACACCATCCCCACTGACACAGCGGCCAGGAAGGCAGAAGAACAGCACATCAAGAAGGCCCTGAGTAAATGTGGTTATCCCAGCTGGACTTTTGTCAAAGCTGGGAAGGCATCTAAAGAAAGCTCCAGCCAATCCAGGAGAGAAGGACAACCGCTGCCTACGTGAAAACCTGTAGTGATCCCGTATCTGTCAGGAGTATCGGAACAGTTGAGACGCATTTTTTCTAAACACTGGGTCTCTGTGGCTTTTAAACCCCAAAACACGTTGCGCCAAAAACTGGTCCACCCCAAGGATCGGGTCCCCCGACACAAACAGAGTAACATAGTGTAGCTGTTAAGTGCCAGGAGGATTTCCAGGATTTATACATCGGGGAAACCAAACAACCTCTGGCGAAGCGGATGGCACAACACAGAAGAGCTACCTCGTCAGGCCCGGACTCTGCCGTCTATTTACACCTACAGGCCAGTGGACACTCTTTCAATGATGATGATGTACACGTCCTGGACAGGGAGGAACACTGGTTTGAGCGCGGAGTCAAGGAGGCTATTTACGTGAAAAGGGAAAGACCATCTCTGAATCGAGGAGGGGGCCTAAGGGTACATCTTTCGCCATCTTACAATGCTGTGATTGCAGCCATTCCCCAACTCTCTGTGAATGGTACTCATGGCCATCGATCAGTGGTTGTTAATCAATGATCATGAGAATTTGCATAATTAAGATTAAGGAACTGACCTCCCAGCCCATTGTTCCTTCAGTGGGCTGGTTTCAGTCATTATGCAAATGTACTGTTTATAAGATTGGGGAAACCTGCAGTCAGCTGAGACTGAAGAAGTCACTTGGATGAGTGATGAATCGTTTCTCCCACAAAACGCTACGTCCAGATGAACAGAATCAACTTTTTGGAGATTTACTTCCCTGGATGATTGAGAATGCATCAAGACATTGCATGATAAACAAATGTGAATAAGTCAACCATTTGATGTAAAAGCCAGTTAATCTGAAACACAATTAAGGACAGTTTAGGTAAAAAGTGGACTTGCAGCCTACACAACAGCAAAAAGATGCAGGGTTCTTATCCCAGAGTTTTTTGAAGGGACTCTGGGATGAGAATTTAAAATTGGCCAACTACAAGATCGCATATTCCCTGTTAATTGACCCATTTGTTTGTTTATTTTTTTTATTTCCTGATTTATTGTCATGTGTTTAGATTATCAAAATACGCTAAAATATAGTGTGCACATTTTTTTCTATCTTTTTCCTTTTTTTAATTTATTTTTTTAAACACAGACAATAGTTAAAACACACCGGCATGATGCCACTTTTATAAGAAACACTTAAACTTACATTTTTAGGTTTTTTTGTTTCATCTTTTTGTGACTAAAACATGTTTGGCGCTAAATTGTGAGGGGTAAGAAAACAGGCATCAGTTGACACCAACTGGAAATCAGCTGATGACAAGTGGTTAAAAATTTGACACACGTTATTTCTTATTTTTTATTTTAGTTAAACAGGCTTAAAAATAATAATAATATGACACAAAATGTAATAAATTCAGATGTAACCTCCAGAAGCAGCTGAACAGAGGATCAGGAGAGACAGTAAAATCCATCGAAGTGGCAAAAATGTGGCAGCATTCATTTATACCCTGAGTTCCACCATCAGACTGAATGCTGGAATATTTCCGAAGTAGAAAAAAAGTTTCTACTCTGAATCAAAATTTAGTTCTGCCCAAGTTTCAAATGTCTCCTACTGCCGTGTTTACACTGGGTGCTGTGTTTCATGGACAACATGAGCACAGTGTATACTTGAGAGCATCCTCACATGCTGCGTCACTGTGTGGTATGACTCCTGCACTGGGTCCTGCCCGAAAAAGTTATAACAGGTAATGGGAGCAGCAGAGAGGATTGTAGGTACTTCTCTTCTCTCCCTTCTGGACATCTACTGCACCCGGGCTAGAACCAGCAGACTGACAGCTTCGTCTATCAGATCGTCAGGATGCTGAATTCACTACCCGCTCTCACACGAACTTCAGACCTGCATTCACTTCTTCTTCCCTCTGAACCCGCCAGCTCCCAAAAACATACAAAAAGCATTATGGAAAGTGGATGCTCAGACTGGCTGAAGTTTTCTTACTGTATATCTTGGGCTGCATAAATGTGGATGGGGAAGTGAAGAATCTGATTGATTGATTGAGCCGATAAATTGCCACTAGCAATATTACAGTTACATGTTACATGCAGTGAAATATGACCATACAGGCCAGAGAGACGTATGATGGTAAGAAAAATAATGAAAGCGCACAATACATGAGGGAAAAGGAGGGTAAAAAAGAACTCTGCTCAGACTAAGCACCTGATAGGAGATACGTGTATAGGAATTTCTTTTACTTATGTATTAATCACATTATTTTATTGTATAATGCCTTGGTGCCACTGGATTTTAAGAAGTCTCACACTCATACAGTAAGACAAATGGTGGGGGTGTAGTAAGGAAGTTGGGTGGAAGCAGACAACTCCACAGGAAGAATCTTTTGTCTCTTCGAGGACTCTGGGAGGTAGCAAGGGAGTGTGAACCTTAAGGTGTGAAACAGCTGTGTACTGCCTTTTGTTCCTGAAGAAGGTATTTAACTGAGAGCCATGTTAGACTGAGGGAGACTCTGCTGACCGTCTGCCCCGCGATCACGTAGGCTCTCCACAAGCTTGGTTGTCTGTTCTTTGTGTGTTTGGATTAAAGAATGTTAGCTACCGCTCACCATTCATGGTATATCTTATTTTTTTAAGGTGAAGAGTATTTGTAAGTTCTGCAAGCCACATCTTTAGCACAGGAACCTCTTTGCCTTTCCAAAGCTGCAGGATCTATTTCTTTGCGATAATCAATGCATATGATATAAACCTTTTTTGAGAATGTTGTAAACTTTGTGTTTCTTTGGAGAGCCCAAAGATAATTACTGTTGGATTTGGCTCAATCTTGTTTTTAAGAATATTAAACAGGTAAGTAAAAATGTCACACCAAAAACCTTGAAGCCTTGGACAGAGTGCAAAACTATGTAACAGATTTCCATAATGTATCATACATTTTTCACAGAGAGGAGAGAAGTCTGGGTACATTTTGTGAAGTCTTTCTTTTGAATAATGTAACCTATGTACAATTATACTGAATTAAACAGTGACGGGAATTTATAAAAAGCGTATATTACATAACACTTCCTGCCAAAAGTCTTCCGGTAGGGAAATCCCAAATTCCTTTTCCCACTCCACTTTAATTGAATGAGTTGAAGGTATACTCATCTCCTGTACTGAGTTATAGAAAAATGAAATTATCTGTTCGGACCCCCGCCTATCACTAAGGCATCTATCCAAGGTGTCAGACGACATGCTTTCAAACTGCGGCAGATGTGTGCGGATATAATTTCGTATTTGAAGATATCTAAAAAAAATGGCTGCGCGGTAGTCCAAATCTATCTATTAATTATTGAAATGACATGAAGGTGTCATTTGAATATAAGGCTTTTAATTTACAAATTCCCAATTCCTGCCACACGTTGAAGGCTCCGACTGCACATGATGGAAGGAAAGAGGGGTTAGCTGTAACTCCTACTCATACTCATTGATAATGGTTTCAGTTTAAAGTGCTTAACTATTTGTTTCCAAATTCGCAAAGTGGTATGGATCACTGGGTTATAATTATAGTATGCATTTGTCAAGGGAGTAGGAGAAAGTAATATTCCACCAACACAGTAAGGAAGGCAGTCCTCCATCTGCAGACCATGGGGGAGTAACGCTGTATCATCCAGTAGAAGGGATATTATTCTTAAATTTGATGCCCAGTAGTAATGCATAAAGTTAGGTAGTGCAAGTCCACCAAGGGATCCGTGTTTACATAGATGTTCTTTTTTTTATTCTATGTGTTTTGTAGTTCCATATAAATGGCATAATAATGGTATCCAGCTTTTTGAAGAAAGATTTGGACAGGAAAATTGGGATATTTTGGACCAAATACAGATATTGCGGGAGAAATACCATTATTACCATTATTGAATTCAGTCTTCCTATCAATGAGATAGGGAGTG